ACACAAGCCCCTTGGGCCAGGGATAGGAGCCTCCAGGGCCCTGACCCTGGACTGGCCTGAAGCACCGCCCCCATGCCCTTGAACAAAGGAGAGGAGGCCCCTGAGTTAGAAGCAGAGCTGGGGGGGATCCCTGGGTGGCGCAGCAGTTTGGTGCCTGCCTTTGGCCCAGGGCCCGATCCTGGAGACCCGGGATAGAATCCCACATCAGGCTCCTGGTGCATCAGGCTCCTGGTGCATGGAGCCTGCTTCTCCCTCTGCCTGTGTCTCTGCCTCTCTCTCTCTGTGTGTGTGACTATCATAAATAAATAAAAATTAAAAAAAAAAAAAAGCAGAGCTGGGATGGATCACAGGTTTTTTTTGTTTTGTTTTGTTTTTTAAGATTTTATTTATTTATGCATGAGAGATACAGATAGAGAGGCAGAGACATAAACAGAGGGAGAAGCAGGCTCCCTGAGGGGAGCCTGATGTGGGACCTGATCCCAGGACCCCGAGATCATGCCCTGAGCCAAAGGCAGATGCTCAACCACTGAGCCATCCAGAGGCTCTTGGATCACAGGTCTCGAGCCTCCTGGTACAGTGCTCCCTCTACAAGAGGCCCTCAGGTCTTCCCAGGTCATTTCAGATCCAGGCCCCAGGAAACCCATCTTTCCCTCTTGGTTTTACCACCAGGATATCCAGAATAACTAAATCCATAAAAACAGAAGACAGATTAGTAGTTGCCTGGGCTAGAGAAAGGTGGCAGTGGGGAGTAGCTGCTTCATGGGGACAGGGATTTCCTTTTGGGGTGATAATGTTGGAACTAGATAGAGGTAGCAGTTGCACACATTGGGAATGTACTAAATGCCACTGAGTCGTTCACTTTAAAATGGTTAATTTTCTGTTATGTGAACTTTAGAAATAAGGGTACCTGGGGGTACCCCGGGTGGCTCAGCAGTTTAGCGCCACCTTCAGTCCAGGTCCTGATCCTGGAGACTAGGGATCGAGTCCCACGTCGGGCTCCCTGCATGGAGCCTGCTTCTCCCTCTGCCTGTGTCTCTGCCTCTCTCTGTCTCTCACGAATAAATAAAATCTTAAAAAAAAAAAAAGTAAGAAATAAGGGTACCTAGAGCTAAGAGATTAAAGGAAGAATAGAGCAAATGCCAAGGGGGAGAGCGGGAAGGTGAAGGCGGGCTGAGGTACGGGGGGGGGGGGGGGGGGGGGGGGGCTTTGGAGAAACAGGGTGGCTTGATGTGGGGGGATGGTAAGAGAAGGGTGGTCTGGAGGATGCAGCCTGTTGAGGCAGCAGAATTTGAGCCTTGGACTTGGGGAGCCAACTGCCTGTAGGGGAAAGGGCGAGAACCAGGGAGAGGGAATTGGACAAACACTAACCACCTTCAAGCCAAGCCTTTTGCTTCCTCTGAGTTTAGACTGGAAGCTCCTGGGGGAGGGGGCAGGGACCTCATCTTTTTAGTTGTTTTTAATTTTCAGAGCAGAGCTTCGTCACAGGTAGTCGGTTCTTTTAAAAACCCTGGTGCCAATGGAATGATATTGAGCATGTTAAGCAGCAGGAAGATTATCCACCGCCCACATCAGAGAAGTGAGGATGGCACTGAGCTGAGTGTGCATGTGTGTCACTCAGGGCAGCAGGAGGGCTGCCCGACTTCCCGGGGCTCAAAGGGCCTGCCCTTCACCTTTGCACACCCAGAGTCTGGAGAGGGCAGCACCCACTGGGGTCTGGGGTGGGGGAAGGGATTGGGTGAGCACCATGGGCTCCTTTGTCAGACCCAGGAAGGAGAGTGGGGGCAGCCACAGGAAGTAGGGGGGGTGAGGAGTTCCCTCTGGAATCTATACCCCCACTTCCCTCCCCTGCGCTTGCACAGCTCCTGCACATGCTCAGTGTGCCCATGAATTGGGTTGGCTGGGGGAGGGCACGGGCTGGCACCCCCACTTAAAGGGCCAGTGCCATCCTTGCTTATACCCAACAGGAGCAGTGGGAACTGGTCACCCTCTTCTCTCATACTTCACCACAGACCCCTCTTCTTCACTTGCAGACTCCTCCTGTACCCTCTGGACATGGGAGTTTCCAGCTGAGGTGGAGGGAGTCCTTGATGGGGAAGAAAGGAGGATCTGGGCAAGGGGGCGAGGGTACACAGGGGTGGTGGGACTCTTCACTCCTGTGAAATACCTGCCTCTGTGGGCCTCTCTCTCCTGGCCCAGGTGACCAAGAAGATGCTGGAAGGCAAATGGGTATGAGGGAAGTAAGACACTGAACATTTGCTCTAGAAAGGCCTGAAGGGGAAAGGAGAGGGTGTTTAAGCCCAGCTCTCCCCAGCTGAGGGTGTGTGTGTGTTGGGGGCAGGGGAGGCAGGAGGGGTGTATGCTGTGACACTGGAGCTTCTGTCACTGCAGTAGGTTAGGGAGACCGGGCAGCCAGACAGGGAAAAGGCAGGAGGCAAAAGGAATCCACACCTGGCCACCACCTGTAGCTGAGCTGGCCCTCCCCAATACTGGAGGAGACACTCCAGCTCAGCCCCAGACTCTTGGGCACCGAGGTCAGGGAACCAGATGGAGGGAGGAGGTGACACTGACTCTTCCTCCCGGACCCCTCTTAGTGAAGACACTTTCTTCACTTACACTCTTTTCCCTTTGTTTTCTTCTTGCCCCATCCTGTCCTCCACCATCCACCAGCCTTGGGAAAATTAATCCACCATGACGTGGCCCTAACCAAGAGCCCGTCAGAGTATGTGTGCCTGTGCGTGTGTCTCCGGGGTGAGGAGGGCCAGCTGGCGGTTTTCACGTTTCCAGGCTCCTCAGCCTCTGAGCCAAGAAGGGCCGAGCTCCTCACCTGTCCCCTCCCCTGTATGCAGCCCTAGACGACTCAGGGACCTGCAGGCCCAAGCCACTTCCAGGCCACACCCCCGGCACCTCTCCCTCACACCACACCCCTCCCCCAATGCTCCAGCAACCCCTCTGGAATCTTCTCGCCCCTCCTAGTCACACACACACACACACACACACACACACACACACACACACGCCTCTGGTAAACAACCTTCCTCCAACCAGGCCCAACCCTCTCCCTCTGGGCTCCCTTGCTCCCTGCTGAGGAATGCGCCAGCTGGGAGCTGCCTGCGGCCTGCCTGTGGCCTGCCTGCGCCTCACCCAGGGGCCTCTGCATCCCTGGTTAGCACCCCACAGGGGACGGCAGGCTAGGAATTCAGAAAGTCACTCCCTCTGTGAGCCTTGGATTTCCCATCTGCAAAGTGGAGACAATCATTCCTCTGGCCTTTCCTGAGCTGTTGAGGATCCAGAAGAAGAGAGCTAAAATCTCTGCAGAACCCCGCCGCCATCACCACCACCACCACCAGGACAGGAGATTCTGCTGCTTCTTGAAACTCATCCCTTCCTAGAATCTGTTCTCGCCTTGCTTCCTTGTTGAAGGCGCTGGCCTGGGTGTGGCAGGGCAGAAATGAAAGTTGTCCTGGCAACACACAGGGTTCGTCAACATTTCCATTCCCGCAGCTCAGCGGCCTGAGCCCTTCTCTTGCCCAATGTGGCCTGTCAAGATGAGCCTTCCTGGAATGGAAGCGAGGTTGGGCGGGCCAGGTCTCCGCCCCTCCCGGTGCACAGTGGCAGAGCAACACAGGCGCACTGGCCAGTTGACTCACTTCCCCCTCCACCATCCCAGCCTGACACCTGCAACCAGCAAGGGCCCTGGAAGGGTGATTGAAGTGAGACCAGTGTCTGGAGAAGGATGGGTCTGAGTGAGAGGGTGCATGAGCTCCTTCCGGAGCTCAATACCACTGGCGAGTTGGTGATTATCTGTATTCCAGCTGGCTCAGTTTCTGTCATGCAGACAGGTGAGGGGCTCAGCTCAGAGGGAACTGACCACTCAGGTGATTAGGCTAAGAGAAGCAGGATGTGCAGCTGCACAGTGAGCACCGGGAAAGCCAGGCCATGAGCTCTAAGAATCAGTTCACTGCACCTCCCTCACCTCTTGGGCTTTTTTTTCCATTAGGAGAAAACCTCCCTTAGGGTGCCTCAGTGGCTCAGTTGGTTAAGTGTTCCACTCTTGAGGTCTCCTCAGGTCATGGTCTCAGGGTCATGAGATTGAGCCCCCCCATTTGGGTCCCTGCTCAGCAAGGATTTGGCTTGAGCCTCTCCCTCTGCACCTCCTACTCATGAGTGTACATGTGCTCTCACGTGCTCTCTCTCTCTCTCTCAAATAAATAAACAGATACAATTTTAGGGGCACCTGGGTGGCTCAGTGGTTGAGTGTCTGCCTCCGGCCCAAGGTGTGATCCCAGGGTCCTGGGATCAAGCCTTGCAGCAGGCTCCCTGCAGACCTATGTCTCTGCCTCTCTGTGTCTCTCATGAATGAATGGATAGAATCTTTAAAAACAAAAACAAAATCTTAAAAAACAACCAAACAACAACAACAAAAAGAAAACTTCCCTTGAGTGCACACTTGTAAGTGCCCTTCTAGGAGGTAAGGGAGCCAAAAGTGATGACTAACCTCCTGCCCCACCACTGGCTTCGAGGTATTGGGGGAGGAGGCTGTCAAGAACAAGGAGACACAAGTTATCCAGACCACATCTGGCCTGGCCCTCCACACAATGGGGAGGATAGGGAGAATGCAGAGAACCTGGGTATAAACCCTGAACGAACCCCTCCCAAAAAGTCCTAGCCCTCTCTCCTCCAGGCAGACCCCCAGCTCCTCACAGCAATCTGGCATCTTAGGTCAAGGTCTGGCCCAACCTGGTGGTTCCTGAGCCCCCTCCTACCCCTCCTCTATAAAAACCTTCAGAGCAGTCCGATTATTCCAGGACACACACCAGAATTCAGGCATCCCCAAGGAATTGGTAGTCCCCCAATATAGAGATTCCCCAATATGGTAGGCTTGGAGTAAGGCAGGGCCTGGGACCCCAGTCCCAAGCCTCCCTGGGACACATATGCTTTAATTCTCAGAGCAACCCTAGTGAAATCAATCCTAGGCACTCCCTGTAAGCTCATGAAAATCATTTAATTTGTGAGAAAAAAAAAAAGAAGACATCAAAGAACAAATTATAGAAATGACGAATGGAAGGCTGAACCTATTTTAGCTGTTCTCAGGGGGCACAGGGGTGCTGGACATGGTTTTCATCTGTCACCCGCCTCCCTGAGCCCCAGCAGGCCTGAGCTTGTATGAAATGGGACTATTTCCTCGGATCAGCCCAGCTGAAGGGTGCCCTCCCCTAGGTGCCTGGCTCCCCCTCGCCGCGGCTACCCTCCCGGTTCCACATGGCATTCTCCTGCCGCAGCCGTAGGTTCTCTGTCCGGAGCCTCTCGACCTCGGCAGCCAGCTCCTCCACCTGGCGGCAGGGCTGCTGGCTGGTGCACCCCCGCAGCTGCTGCAGCCTCCTGGTCTCCTCTTCTGCCTGTGACAGCCGCCTCTCCAGATCCAGGTAGTCTCGGACCAGCTCCTGCTTGCTGCGGCCCTGCAGACTCTCGGTGTGGTAGCGCTCGTAGGCCTCAGAGAAGTCCCTCTGCTGGAACTCCCCATGAGCCCGGCCCTGCCCGTCACCTTCCCCTGCCTCACTCTCCCCGCTGGAGCCTGGGTGGGAGGCCCCATGGGGCACTTCCAGGTTGGGCTCTTCAGGATCCCGGTCATTCATCAGAAACTGGGTGGTGTTGTAGGGTGCTACAGGCTGGCCTTTGGCAAACATCTCCTCACGGACCCGGGAGGCCCTCTGGCTCTGCCTCTCATCCCGCTGCTGCTTCTCTGCCCAGCTCAGCTCCAGATAGGGGCGCCAGTGGCGTTTGCGTTTGGAAGGCCTCCTGCGGTGCTTCTTCCGGCCCAGCACAGCCTCCACAGAGCTGCCCCCAGGGCTCTGGGTCCGGGAGCCCCTGCTGTTCCAGCCTAGGCCCCTGCCAGCCCCAGGGGAATCTTCCTCCTCAGAGTGGCTCTCTATCCGGGGGGTCAGGGGCAGGGAACTACCAGGGTCATGAGGCTCAGGGGGTGTTTGGGGGCTCCCAGGAGCACCAGGGGTCTAAAGAGAGAGGACAAGATAGAGTGAATCACAGACAGCCTGCCCCTGGCTCTGTAACCCTTCCGCCACCACCCAGCCTGAAGCTGACTTGGGGTCACTCTCTAGCCTCTCACCCTCTGCAACTATTTGTTGGTTTATGGGCTTATCTGTCTCCTGTCTGCCCCCTCAACCCTCCCGAGTCATGAAAACAGCAGGAATTATGCCTGTGTATTTCACTCCGTAATTTCAGTGCCCTCAATAGTAGCTTTTCTGTGCCTCACATGGTAGGCATACAGTAAATACTGTTTGAATGAAGTAGGAGAAAGAGGAGACAGGATGGGAAGTGGCTCCTGCTGCATTTGCTTGATCAGCCCTCTTCCTAGAAAGATTGTCTTTCTGACAGAGTTGGCTTCCTGGGTAAGCAACCTGTGTCATCTCTCAGGGCCCCTCACTCCCACTCTGTCTGGAAAGACCCCATGCTTTGCTTAATGCTCCGATGTTTTCATCTTGAACTTCTTGACAAGTTTTGAATAAAGAACCTTTTGCCCTGAGCCCTACGAGAATTACGTAGCCGATCTTGCTTCCAGCTTTTATTGCATAGCTGACTCTTGAGGGCTTGGTACCGATATCACCTCTTCCGATGGGCCCTCCCTGACCACCCTATATAAAGATCCCCCCCATCTCCCCTTCCCAGTGACACCATCATGTGACTCAGTTACCGTCCCACATCCTACATAGTGTCTACCACATTACCATTTACTGTCTTCTTTTTATAAGAATGTGTCTTGTCTGCCTAGCTCACCACTGTGCCCCTATGCGTGGCCCAAAGAAAATGCTCAAAACCATGTTAAATGACATAAAGCCCATAAGAGAGAGGGATGCAAAAGACCTTGGGATAGGAGACCACCCCTTTCTGTTGATCTAGGGTAAAGAAGATGGAGTGTTATTTATTCCAGGCAGAAGTTGGTATCACTCTTCGACATGAGTGGCAGGAAAGAGGCCCTCGCTAGGGAGAGGAAGGGAGAACCTCCAGTCTGCAGCCAAGAGAATTCTAGAACTTATCTAAGAGGTGGAAAGGATTCTGTCAAGACAGTGTGTGTGCAGAGCATCTGTTTATCTCTGTTGTGGTGAGGGTGGGAGTACTCAGTGTGGGGGATGGGAATGAATTGCTCTATGTTTGTGGTTTGGGGAATTCTAATAATTCTACCATGGGCATGTTGCTCTACAATGTACACCACGGTTCAGAAACATCTGAGCATAGGCCCATACAGGCACAGTGTGTGTACTCGGGGATGTACACAGCCCTGTAAGAGCTGGAGGCACGTTGTGTTGTGTGTGTTTCGGAGGCCCTGAAGTTCTCATCTTCATTTAGGATGGGATATGTTAGGGATCCCTGGGTGGCGCAGCGGTTTGGCGCCTGCCTTTGGCCCAGGGTGCGATCCTGGAGACCCAGGATCAAATCCCACATCGGGCTCCGAGTGCATGGAGCCTGCTTCTCCCTCTGCCTGTGTCTCTGCCTCTCTCTCTCTCTCTCTCTCTCTCTCTGTGACTATCATAAATAAAAAAAAAATAGGATGGGATATGTTAGAGTGCGTACAGAGTATGTGTGTATGTTGTCTGTTTGTGTTGTCTGTAGGTGTGTTGTACTGTTACTTCACCTATTGGGAGACTGTCAATCGAGAACAGGCCTTGTCTCCACCAGTGTCTTGAGTCAACTGAGACAGAGCTTCTACCCCACCCCAGAAGAGGCAAGGCCCCTAGCAGCACTGAGACAAAGTGGCTTGTGTATGCACATTCACCTCCCCCAGCCCTCAGCTCATGGCTCGGCTTGTAATGATCCTTTCCCTCACCCATACCATCCCTGTCCCTCAGCCCCACATGCTGCCTTCCTCCTGAATGCCTTTCCCTTTACCATCATTCCCACCATGCAGATAAGCTGTGTGATCTGGGTGAGTCATCTGCCCTCTCTGAACTTCTAATCCTGACATGTCATGAACTCCAAATTAAACAACTCTAGAAAACACTGGAAGTGGCTAGGGAGGGTGGGTCAGAGGCAGTGAGTCCTCTCCTCACCTATAGGAACTTGTAAACTCGAGGAGAATGGGTAATGTGGGGGCAGCAAGAGAGAGCATGGGCAGAGTGGGTTTGGGTTCCTGTTGCCAGATCAGAAGGTGATGTTTCCTGAGAGCCTGATACAATCTGTCTTTCCCTTTCTCCTGGATGCTACGTGAACTCCAACCCCCATCCTAAATTATGAACCAAATGTTCTCTTTCCCCTGTGTCACACTTGGTTCTCAGCCTTGACAAAATGTAAGGCTGTGTTCTGGTGTCCGAAGGCCCAAATTTTAAACCCGGGATCTTTTGTTTGCTGGCTGTATGATTCTAGAGAAGGTATTTCAACTCTGATAACCTTAGCTTCTTTGAAATGGAAATAGTAACTCCTACCTTGAAGGGCTGCTAGGATTTCACAACAGCACAGATTTGGCATCCTGGCATACTGCCCACCGCACAGTAGGGACTCAGTTAGATCTGGTTTTCCAGATCTGCCAACACAGCTGAGACAAGCGGCCAGGATCCCAGTTGGCAGGCTCCATGTCGGGGCACTCAGGTGGTTGGGAAGGTGGGGCTTACCTTGGCCTCCTCCAGGGCTGCTGGTGACTCTGTATTATAGTTGGTCTGGTTCGGAGTAGCCACCTTCTTCTGCTCCAAATCTTTCAGCAGATGCTTCTAACTAATGACACCTGCCTTAAATAACAGAAAGCTAAGTCTTAAAGGAGAATTTTCAGGAAGACTGGCTGCCTGGCAATTATTCACTAAGGCAGCGGCAGCCATTTTGTAGCACCAGACCTGCACACCTTCATTATCCAATGCAGGTCCTAAAGTCTCCACACCCTGGGGTTCACACCTCCAGCCAGCAAGGGGCCATCTTCCCAGTCCTATCCCTCGGGCCCCGGGGCCAGAGCTTCCATCCTATGCTGTTCTTCTGGAAGTCACTGAGGCCCAGGCTGGCAGCTGGGAAGCTAGTCCTGAGCCTTGTTCCCCCAACAACCAAAGAGGAAAAGGTCGCTGCCCAGGGAGGCAAAGATACAGCAGTGACCTGGAGGCGCTCGACCTGGAGAGGCTGGCAGTGGAGTGGGGCAGTGGCTCCAACAGGAAAATATGTAGCAGGCTTTACAAGGGGGCCATTCCTCACAGCCTCCAGAGGTCCCACTTTTGACAGCACCCCACCCCCACCCCCCACTCCCAGCCCCCTCAGGCTGGCCTCCAAAAGTCAGCACCTCCAGAAACACAGTTGTGGCCTGGGCCGAGCCTGGGGCTGAAGATTTATCATCTCCTGGGCCTGGCCTGCCTCCCCCCTCCTTCCTCTCAGGACGAGAAACAGAGGAAAGGGGAAAAAGTCTTCACACTACATGCAGCTGGAAGGGAAGCCCAACTGGAATAAGGATGGATTCCTTGGAAGAGGGGAAGTGGTCCGAGAAAGATTTTGCAAAGGCGGAACTGACCTATTTGCTGTCAAGGATTATGCACACGACTATATCTGTGTGTCTTTCTGTGCGACCGACCGCCTGTCTGTGCAGTTCCCAGGGCCTCAGCCCTACCTCTTGCTGCAGTTGCAGCAGCAGCTCTGGTCAAGCCGCTCAGGCACTAAGGTTGGGGGTGGGGGGAGGGGGGGACAGCCTGGCAGCGCGACGCCTGCTGGGGATTGTAGTTCTTGTAGCTTGGGAAGCCGGCTGATGATCCTGTCACGTCTACGGAGACACCGAGAACTCCAAAACCCATCTACCCTTGCGCGAGCGGCGTCCCGCGCTCACCGATGCCTTCTGTGATTGGCCAACTCGTCTGCCAATATTTTCACTTTCGTCAACGATTAGCTGTGCGGAAGCACAACAGGACCCGCCTTCCGAGATCAATTAAAGAGTTCATTGATGGCGTTAATCTTTACGGGGCAGAAAATAGATCCGGCTGAGAGGGGGCGGGGCTGCGGGTGCGGAGGGATCCTCGGCCCTAGAGGAAGGCGACGAGAAGGATCGGTGGCCGCCGCCGCCATTTTGGGCTGGGAGGAGGCAGCGGAGGGACTCGCTGCGCAGTGAGAGCACCCCATGGGGGGTGGTCCGGGCGCGGGGAGAGGCCGGGCCGAGTGGGCTGCCTGAAGTGGCGGCGCCGGGAGACGGCGGGGAGTGGGACCGGGGGCCGGGGGGGTGAAGGTTGGAGTCTCCCCGGCCGGGCCCGGTCCTCAAACCGTCCCGGCAGCCCCGCAGCCTCGCTTCTCACAGAGGGCGGGGTTTTGGGCAATTACCGCGTGTTCCCCGAGACCCCAGTTGGGGAGAGACCGGGTGAAGCGACTCCCCTCTGCCCTTTCCGCGGGGGGCGCAGATCCTGAGGCCGAGCTTTGCCAACTTGTCTCCCCACCCCCATGCGGCCTGGGTATGGTGGCGGGGCCCCCGCTCCGACGGGCGAGGTGGGGGCGACGCCAGGTTCCAAAGGCTGGCGCCGAGGGGGAGGGCGGGGGTCCCTCCAGCTCTGGCCGCGCGTCCTTCTGGCGTGGCGGGCGGCTGGAGGCCCCGAGGGCGGAGAGCGGGGTGCGCCCACCATCTTCCCCCAGTACACCAAGGCCATCCCGCGGTCCCGGCTTCTTCCTGCAGTGGCGACCACTAATTCCCCCTGGAGCTAGATAGACGGAGGCCCGGGGAAACCTTCACGAGCCCAATGCCTGGAAATCTGAGCGCTCTTGCCCTCAAGATTTCTTCCCAGCCCCGATTCTCGGAAGGACCCGACCTTGCACTCCCCAGCCCAGTTTGGGAAACTCCAAAAATGTGCTGTTCCCACTTCTCTCGAAAGTGTACACCAAAGAGGGGTTGGGTTTTTGCTCTTTCCAGGGTTGGGGCACACAAAATAACCGAGGGGCCACGGCTCTGGGAATAAAAGTGGAGTGTGGGCCCGTTTTGGATGCTTCAGGAACATCTGTTTGCGTTTTGAAATCTGAGCCGTGACTTTGACCAAAACTTTTGGAGAAATGGCTGCCCTCCTAAAGAGAAAAACGAACTAATTCCAACGTAATCTTTGTAAGACTACAGATTCCTCCCAGTTTAAGGAACTTTTCTCCTAAAAACTAAACAAAAAATGGGGAGTATTTTTGCCACTGGTGCATTGTTACTAGGGAACCTCTATTTTGAATTTCCAAGTCATTGAAAATCACTTCTGTGGATCCCAGACGCTACCAAGATAGAAATTGCAGTTTTGAGCTATTTCCTATATGTAGCTTTTGGGGGCGGGGGGGAGGTGGGAGAGAGACCTTTGAAAACAATAAACGCTCAACCTTATATTAACAGCTATAGCAGCTTTTTAAGGATTGAAGTTTGATGTGAAATTCTCTCCTTGAATCACGGATTAAACCGTCTTGTTTAGTAATGCTCAAAATCTAACTTCAGAGAGATTTGCATACAGTTTAGGGATACCTTATTTTGTTGCTAAAATATCAGTTAAAATTATGGCTAGGTAGACTATAAAGTATGAGAGTGGGTAGTGAGCTCTACCTTGTGATGAATCTCATTGTCACTTACACATGGTCACATCATTCCTGAGTCTTTGGCTTAATTAGTAAGAACCTTGAAAGGTTTTTGAGAACTGAAGCCACTCTCCTTCTATTAATCATTCTTTTTTAAGTTGTAAATGACAGTTCCAAAGCTGTATCTATTCTCCCCGAACTTCCCAGATGTTCTCAGAGAAAGTCTTAAAACTGGATTGTGAAAATTTGATCACCATTGACTCGATTTCTTCTTCTTTTTTTTTTTTATTGACTCGATTTCTTAATCCAAAATTTGAACCACTAAATGCAGTACACTTGATTCATACCTAGGTTGACTTTTGGCTTACATCATGTTAATTTCACACTGTTCCTCAGATCTAGAGAAGACGGGAGTTAGGAGAAGCTGACATTAACTTGGTAGGAGTTAAGTTAAATAGTCTTAGGAGCTGAAAGGGGCTTTAAAGATTATCCTTGTGGTTCTTCTGACAATTTAATGGAGGAGGATCCCAGACATTTGTGATTCATCCTCCATAGTGAAGTAATGTAGTTATAAACCTTTGGATGCTACGAGGTGGAGAATACCGTGCCAGATGCAGAAATGTGTCACTCATTTATAAAGATGAAAGGTTATCATCTTTAAGATTGAACCACAAGCTTTTTCATTCCTTGATAAAGCTGGGAATAAACCCAGTTTATTAATGTTGCCTTGGTTATCTTCTGAGCAAAACCTAGGACTGGAAGTTAGGAACTCCCAAGTTCCATTTCTTTTTTTTTTTTTTTTTCCAAGTTCCATTTCTGTGTGTGCTACCGCTGACTTGATTGGGCTTTGCCAGGGGCCAAATCCTGAAGATGAGGCCAAACTGGTCATTTTGTTGCTGAGTCTGTTGTTCATCTAATGTTCAACCAGACCTTCTGCTCCCTCCTCAGCTGTCCCCTGGCAGATGAGTTCCTTCAGGGTTTATGACAAAGTCTACAAACCCTATATACCTCAGTTTCCTAATTTGAAAATGATATCAATGCTACTTCCCCCATAAATAACCTTGAGGAGTAACTACTCTTCGGTAGCTATGTAAACATATATTTACTAGAACTTCCTTACTTGGGAATCTAGAACTTCTGCTTCAGAGATCATTTGGGGCATTTAGGAGGTCTGCCTTACTGAAATGTGGCCTTGGCTGCCGTCGGCAGCACAAAGGATGGCCATCGAACTAGGCTGAATCATGGTCAGTTTCTTAGGGTACCAAGCAATTGTTACTAGGAAGTCCTGGATATTTTAGCCTGCCGACCAATTCCTGGGAACTAGTGGCTCTGTGAGAGCAGGATTCATTGGTGGGTAGGATGGATTCTTTGCAGCAGTCCTCTTCAGGATGAAGATCTTTGCTTCTGAACTATTTGATTTCCATAATTAACTAGTTTTCTGTTGTATTAAGCTCTCACCATCTTTCTCTTTAAAGTTTCTCTTTTTAAATTGTTCATGTATTTGCTGGTTTGTTAAGTACACTTTTAGGAATAACTAGAGAGGAAGGTAGAACTAACTAACCTCTTAGCCATTCCTTTTCATTCTCCAGTTTGGTTTCTTGCCTTTACCTAATAGTTGTATTATTATCCAGGTATGCAGAATTCTGTGTTTAAACAGGAGTCAGACTTCAAATAAATCTTCTCTGACCCTCTGGAGCTAGTACAAGTTCTACTGAGTAGCTCACAAGAGCCGTGATGCTGTCATTTTCTCAAATACTTGTTCATGGGGCACTCAAGTTCTCACATTTTCCTTCAGGAATACCCTTTTACTCCCTGCAAACCCAGGGCTTTTTAACACAGTGAATGTGTGAATATGAAGAATATGAAGGATGAGAGTATGATTCCCTTCTGAATTTTTGCTCTTGAAAAAACTTAAACCAAATGTAATTGCTCTTGGTGCTGTTTAGAGATCACATTAGCTATTTCAGAAAACTTACCAACAGTTTCCAGTAAGCAGCTCAACCATTTGAAAGAATTTCATTGGTGTGCAGAGGTTTATTAGTAAACTAGGATTTTTCCTGCTGTTGGCTTTGTTGATACATTATTTGTCATAATTGAACCACCTCTAAGTAAAACCCAAGAAAATTTATTCAGGAGGATTTGTGAGAGCTTAAGTATTGATTGTCTAAACTCAGCCTTTGTTTTTTTTTGACAAGAAGTGGAATGAGATTGTAAGCTCTCCAGTATTCAAAGAAAACTGGCTCAAAATTCAGTCTTTGCCTCCTAGAGTATATATTCTGTCCCACTGCAAACTATGAATGTTACGCCTCAGTCAGCAGATCCTACTGTGTTCAGGGCCTGAATATGATATTTTCTTTACTTTGAAAATTATTTTTCATTTCTAGCATCAACCGTTTATACCTTATATGAAAAAGAATAGTAAAGTGGAATTTTATTACAGTGTTCTTGTCAAGTTTGAGAAATAATTTCAAAAAACTAACCTCACAAACTCAGCTGTACTTAGGTAAAGGTACTGTCTTAGCTTTAGCCAATTTTACCATCACAATGTTGTGAATATTTGTTGCCAGCTGTTCTAGGTGTAAGTAGCCAGGGAGAATCCTGTGGTGCATTACTTAATGTTTGACTAAATATACCCAGCTCTTGATTTTCTGAAGGTAAACTGTTCGGTTGTGGTTTTTTGTTGTTGTTTTTTTTTTTTTTGGGGGGGGGGGACGTTAAAAATTTCTATGGATTCCCTGTTTAATTTCTTTTTTTTCCCTATAACTTGTGAAGTCATAAAGGTAAAGTATATTTATTTATATTTTCCCGAGCAAAGGATTTTAATTTTACTCTGGATGAAGGGAAAATTAAAATACTGATGGGCAACTGTTCTGGCTCAGTTGGTAGAGTGTGTGACTCTTCATCTCAGGGTTATGGGTTGAACCTCATATTGGGCATAGAGAGATTACTAAAAGAAAATAATAATAATAGGGATGCCTGGGTGGCTCAGCAGTTGAGCATCTGTCTTTGGTTCAGGGCCTGGTTCCAGGATCGAGTCCCGAGTCCCGCATTGGGCTCCCTATGGGGAGCCTGCTTCTCCCTCTGCCTGTGTCTCTGCCTCTTCTGTCTCTCATGGATAAATAAATAAAATCTAAAAAATAAATAAATAAAAAAGATAATGGTAGCTTACTCTTGAATAACACATTTTCATGCTATCTTATTTAATCCTGATAGCAGTTTTGTAAAGTAGCCACAGTCCCATTTTGGCAATGAAGCATGAGGTTCAGAAAGTTTAAAGAGTCGTGTCCAGGATTACACTGCTAGCAGTGTATGTTAAAGATAGGACTAGGACTGTTTTTTTTTTGACTCCTAATAAACTAGTCTCATTTTTGTTTTCTCTCTTTAGAGATACCTAGTCTGTTTTTCTGAATTAAACCAGATAACCTAGTCTTTTTCTGGACTTCCCTGGCTCTCCCCAAAACTAAGATCTAAAAGTCCCTGTGTCCCGAGGGCCACATTATGTTCTAGGCTAGCCCCCCAAGTTTTCCTTACTTGAAGGAGGATTAAGCTTTCCAGCCATATGTCTCATAGTTTAGGAAGCACTTTGCCCTGGCTGGATACTCAGGCTCCCTATGAGAAAGGGAACAAATTGAAATTGCCATTGTGTAAGCATCGTCTTCTGAGCAGCTCAGTTAAATTGTTTGGCAGAGAGGACTTTTGGTGAAAGGCTAGAGATCCTCAAATGATTTGAGGATCATTTGTCATCACAGCCCCCTGTTAATATAAGTAATTCAGTCTTAGTCCTGAAAGCAGTATGCTACTCCAGTGTTTCAACGTAGAAAATAATTAATAGAAAACAAATTTCACACAAACCTCACGATTCTAAGGACATCAATGCAATAAATATAAAGTGCCTTTGGAAGCAAAGTTCAGAAAGCTGCATATCTCCAGGTAAATCAGAGTCATTTGTGAGTAACTTAAAATTAGTTGTCTATTTTTAAAGACTGGACTGAATTTGTCTTCTAGGAGTAAAACATACTTTTTTTCTGATGATAAATGTACTTATAGAGTCTAAGACTGATAGTGGGGAAAACAAGATCATTAAACTTAAATCCATTTTATTAAGTTCTACAATCAGAGGTTATCACTGCTGCATCCTATAGTGCAGTCAAAATGAGGCTTCTCCGTATGTAAAGCCAGAGGGCAGTGTTGCTGCCGTTCCACCAAGCAGCCGCGTTTCTGGGACTACTGCATGACATCATAGCAGAAGGAAAATTAAAAACACGAATAAAACTATTTCAAAATAGACATTTAATGTAATTTTTAGGCCAAAAGAAAAACTGACCATACATTGTCTTGAGTGGACCATCTGCCAGAATAGGGCCAGCTTAGTCCAGCTTTGGAGGCCCTGAGTCAGTTCTTGACCAGCATAATTCCCCTTGATTCATTGATTTGTGAATGCTTATGCATCATTGAGGTGCATTTCACTCTTGAAGTTCCTAGCACCTCCACTATTCCATTTAGCTACAAAAGCAAGCTTTCCAGTGGGAGTTCCATGGGTTTTTTTCTCCCTTTCCCTGCAGAGGTTCTTAACCTTCAAGGAGTTTGACAATCTCAGGATTCTCTTGAACACTCTCCCCAGAAAAATGTACATACAAAAATCTACATAGAACTTCGTGGGGTTCGTGAATCTCAAGACCCCCTCTGGATTCTAAGGCCCCAAGAAACCCCTGTACTAATGATTTGAGCAATGCATTTGCCTAGGGAAACACACAGGGCAGACGGAGATGGGCTGGATTAACCATGATGACGAAGGAACAATCATAATTTTAAGGAGACAGAAGTTTATTAAATACACCACAAGGGAGTGGTAGGCAGAACAGCAAAGGACAGATTGTCTGCCAACAAACATAACTTGTTACTATTTTGATTTGGGGGCAGAAATTGATTCCCAGAGCCTCCCTGCATTTTCAACAACAGAACTACTCCCGGGCCTAAAGCAGCTATTAGATTGAGACCAGGGGCCGTATGGGGGCTGGATGTGCAGGGTTCCCACTCAGTCCATAAGGACTTAATTTAGCTTCTCAACCAGAAGCTTTACATTTGATTTGCAGTGAGGGGGAATTTCTAATTTTGGTTTGACCCTCAAAAGGTGGACAGCTCCCATTCCTTTTTTTTAGTATAGGGAGCACCTAAGTATAAAGTAATTAGGGTAAGTCCTTGGAATGCCCCAAACAACTATTTCCTCTATAAATCCAATATTCCCTACCTCTAAGCATCTTAACAAAGAATTGCCACACAAGTTTATCCAACCATTGCTTGCACTAAAAAAGCAAGGGGTTTACCAAGAGCTGTTTTCATTTATCCAGGAACTTCTTTCAGCCTTATTGGTGAGGTGAAAGGATCAGTAAAATCTATTTGTAGGAATGAAACGAGACTGTCAGTTGTCTAACCTAACAAACTGCCAAATTAGGTTTACATTTTTGTTAATAGACTTTCCAATGGCTGTTGAGAAGCAGAATTAAATTTTAAGCTTCTAATCGTACTTTCTGCTCCATAAACACCTAACCCTGGTTTGTTTCTCCAGCTTGAAAAAGAAAACCAAGGCACTAGAAAGCAAGCACACTTAAGTGTTGAAGATAATCTTTATATTTTGTCTGAACTGTATATTTAGCACACTAAAACTCATCCAAGGGAAAAATCATCAAATTGAAAATTGTCCCATCAAAGATTGTTTTCTTGCAAACTGACAAATTTAAGGATTTCTCTACCCCCCCAATGCAATCACTTAAATCAGCACTATTTTGAATTAGCTCTAGAAATCACACTGAAACTATGTTACATTTACAAATATTAAATTTATTATAGCTAGAATGAATTTAATGGTTCTCAGATTTGGCCACCTTATAACTCCGTTTAAGGAGGGGATTTTTTTTTAACAGAAAAATGCATTATAACTTGGTCAAGTTACTTACACATTAAAAAAAAAACTTCTAAAAAGGAAAACAAAAGCAACCCTTCAGATTCACGTAATTAAAGAACAGGAGAAAAGCACGCAAGCTACATCAAAGCTAAATTTACCAAACCAACCAAAGCCGGGGGGATTTTCTCTTCTGATTATGTGTCATAAAAAGGTCCACTGTCTTATATACACATGTGTATAATGTTACATTCCATCACTGTAAAAAGTCCCCTTTGCCCCCTCCCCCCCAAAAGTTTCAGTCTAGTCTCCAAACTTGGACAGCGGCGCTCGCTCCTGCTGCCGATGCAGTTCGTTCTCCGTCAGCAGCTGGAGGTTCTCGGCGCGCAGCCGGTCCAGCTCCAGCTCCAGCTCCCGCACGCGCGCGTCGTCGCCGCCCAGCCGCTTGCTTTCCAGCCGCAGCCGGTTATTCTCGTCCTCCATGCGTGAGAGGCACTTTTCCAGCTCCAGGTACTCTTTGATGAGCTCCTGCTTGCTCATGTTCTGCAGACTCTCCGCGTGGTACCGCTCATAGGTCTCCGAGAAGTCCCGCTGCAGAAACTCGCTGCCGTCTCCTCCCATCCCGTCGCTGCCCCCATCCTCCTCGCCCGCTTCTTCCATGAAGTCCTCATCGCTAGTGTCGTCGGATTTGGCAGCGGCCCGCTTGGGGTAGAGACCTGTTTTGAGATCCGGCTCTTCCTGGTCGTGATCATCCATGAGGAACTGCGTGGTGTTATAGGGTGCTACTGGCTGGCCCTTGGCGAACATCTCAGCTCGAATCCTTGAAGCTCGCAGGCTCTGTTTTTCGTCGAACTTTTTCTTCTCCTCCCAGGTTAGCTTGTAGTACGGTTTCCAATGCCGCTTCTTCTTGGAGGGGCGTCTCCTATGTTTTTTCTTGCCCAGCTGTCTCTGCTGCTGTCCCCACGCCTCCTCGCCCCCCGCAGCAGGAGCCCCCAACTTGTTGGCCTCGGAATCAAGACATGGCTGTGCGAGAGGCTCGGCCTCGGGCTTCGGTTCCCCCCCAGCTGCCGGCGGGGAGGCTCCGCCAGCAGACAAGTCGTCCCCATACTGGCCCTTCTTGCCTGCTTCCGGACAACTAGGTTCTGGACGGACCGGGGTCTGCAGGGGAGGTGGCTGCGGCCCCAAGCTCCCTTCCCCCTCCTGCCCCGGACGGCCACCCGACTGGGGGGACGCTCTCGATTGCCACCTACTGTCGTCCTCGGGCACGCGCTCCTCCGCGCCAGGGGGGCGATCGGGGTTCCGCTCATCGTGAACAGCAACAGCACCTGTACAGTTGCTAGTTTGAGGCTGGTGCTGGTATTCTGACAAGAGTGGCTCGGCCATGGCTAATAGAGTCCTCTTCTCGAAGTTTGAAAATTTTGGCTGTAAGTCCTTAAGGAAAAAAGAGGTTTTCCTTTTCTTTTAAAAAATGTCCAGCAGAGTCCGCTTCGGTCTGTAATTCCTGAAGTGACGCCTTTAGCCAGTCCTTCTGTAAACAAACTCCAATTGCAACTTGGGAGCGCTCAAGTCAGTAAAGGGTTAAGTGCCCACAGCACGGCCAGCTAGCGGGTCCAGGGGGTGCAGCAGCAGTAACCGTACGTAATGTGCTAAAGGGGTGGACCTCAAGCCTCCCCGCAGAGCGCCCCCACGATCGAGGAGTTGGTGGGCAAGGAGATGAGGTTAAGTCCAACGGGTTAAACCCAGCCCCGAAGGGGTTAAAACTACCCGATGACGCTGCCTCCGAGGGGCCGAATCCACAAAGGGTTAAATCCCCTGCCGCAGAGCCCACAAGGGGTTAAAGTCCCAGAGTCACCTCCTCCCACTTCCACGGGTGTCGCTCCAACCCGAGCTCCCAGTTCCCTAGGCCCGGCCGGAGCCTCAGCCGAGGACAGACAAACTCATCTCCCCTTTGGCTCGATGCTCGGCTCAGCTCAGATCTCCACCGCCTCCTCCTCTTTTCCTCCCTCCTCCCCCTTCCGACAGCAACTCTTCCGCCTCCTCCCCCGACTTCCCCTCCCAACCTGCCTCTCCACCTGCCAACTTCCAACTGCTGCCTCCCAGCCCTCTGCACCCCTTTTATATAGAAGCCTAGCTGCCCCGCCCATGCGCATGCGTAGCGGAGTCCTCATCTTAGGAAGCTGGGAGTCGTAGTTCCCATCCTTCAGGCCCGCCGTGCTCGCGCGCCGTGCGACGTAGCCAATCCCAGAACGCGTAGGGGGCGACTTCCAGGCCGCCTCCTTCTATCGCATATCCCTCGCTAGAGAAACGTGAGTGTCCATTGGTCAGGAGTCACACGTCTTGCCGAAGAAGGGGAGCCAATCGCAGAGAAGAGAGGGCGGGCCTTGGACCATACCATTCTGCTTCAGGAATACGAGAAGATTCCGTGGCCTCTGAGGGCCCACACAGAATATTTTTATGAAAAGGTGCGTTTTAAAGTGTATTTTCGTATTCTATCATCCGCGGAAGGGTTTCGAAGGTCATAGACGTTTGTTAGCTAAAGGAAGAAATGGTTCATCCCTAAAAAGTAGTCCCTACAGTGTAAAAGAGGATTAAATCCTGTAAAGAGAGATGTTGGCCTATGGCTAATAGCTCTCGATTCTTCAGATTATAGGAATGGCTGCGAGGTGTGTGTGGTTAATGCCTGGGACTGACATTTGCGGAAGGATATTGCGAACACATTCTGTAAAAAAAACGAAAAGCGTATGAAGAAGTAAACAAATGCAGAATAAAAAGTGCCGCCTTAAAGGGACAGTGTGACCGCTTTAGTGCAGCAAGCCAGGCCTAGGCCTCGGAGGATGAGAAGGCAGGTTCGAGTCCCGGGTGACTTCCACCCGCGGACTGGCCGAGCCCCAGTCCAGGCCTAGTCTTTAAAGGGCCGCCGCCCCAGGACCAGTGCAAAACGGTGGGCCGTGACCGAGCCTCTCGCCGGGGCGGGGATCCGGGAAGCGCGGGGTGTGCACCTGGGGCTCCCAGGAGACCCGGGGTGGCGGGCAGGCCTCGCCCTGGGGCCCGCAGCTTCTGTCGAAGAAAATGGCCTCCGGGGGCCGACTTGATCTCTTCACTTCCGAGCTGACTGGGAACATTTTCCTGAGCACAGACAAGGCAATCCGGGCCAGCTGATGGACCTCTTGGGGGAAAGGTTCAGAATTAATCCTGAGTTTACATAATCAGCCACGGATAGCCGAAAGAGAAGGGGTCCCATCCGCAGAGGCTCTTCTCCCCAGTGGGTGCTGGGCAGCACTGAGAGGGAACGGAGCCAGAGGCTTCCCCGAGGAAGAGGTCTTGCCCAGAAATGGAGGCAGGGGGATGCTGGCCCAGGATTAGGGGGTGGTGGTGTGTGACACGGTCTCCTTGAGAAAATTCTCCAGATTCCAAGCTCCAGCCCAGAGGACAGGGCCCCCGAGTAGCCCAAACTGCTCTAATCATTTAGGCCTAAAAAATCTCAGCCTAATAACAGCCTCTCCCTCTTGCCACACACACTCGTGACCTATTCTTATTATTTCTTCCTTAATAGCAACATCTTACTTTCCAACGTATAACATTCTTTTACACACAATCATTTGACCCCACTGCAGCCCAGTGAGGCAGGGTAGGAATGATTGTCTCCATTTTAGAGATAAGAAATCTCTGAGAGTCGGAGAAATGAAGTGACTTGTCCAAGGTCACATGACAACTAAGTGGCAATTCTTGGTTGAAGATCTTCCTGACCTTCGTGTCATTTTTCTTTCACAAACAAAATTCTCTTTTTTACTCAAGAACTTTGGATTTAGCTCCTTTCATTTCCAACAGCTTCAGTCTAATTAAAGCCCTCATTTCTTCATTTAGCAAATATTTGTTAGGCAGGAACAATGATGAATAAAATGTCATCCACATGGACAGTGTGGAGAGAGGCCATTAAACCATGGTGAGCCAAAATGGCAAATGAAGAAAATCCGGGTAGATGGGAGATTGTGGGCTGCTCAGTAGTTGGGAATTGTGGACAGGATTTGTGGAGGACATATCTTCCTGGGTTTCTGGGAAGGATGGAGGGTTTTCAGGCCCTGTGTCATGAAGGGCATTTTATAAAGAGCAAGCATCGTTTCCAAAGGACTTGTCTGGGAACTCAGGAGTGGTTCCATGGGGCGGCGGCAATGGGCATGCCACAAGGGAGAGGCAAGCAAGAGTGCCTCTGAGGCACATCCAGTTGTTTTGAAACCGACCACCCCAGACCCTGGGCTTCCAAGAACTCTAAAAGCCTGCCCTCCTTTGTGCTCCTTCATCAGCCATGCAAGAGGCCTCCCTGTGAGCAAGAAATGCCCCTCACACTGAGAGTTCGCATCCTGAGGAAAAGAGGTTTTGCAGAAAACTTGGAGTCCGAGATCTCTTCATTGTTACCACATTTTCAGCCTCCAGAAGACTCCTGAGTGCCCTCATTCAGGGGGATCGAAAAGTACAGCTGAGCCCAGCCACCCTCAATTTACTTGACCAGGCTCCTTTGTCCTATGTGAGGAGGGGTGGGCAGAGTGATAGGTCGTGGAATTCTAGAATTCTGTCAAACAACAGGCCAGGCACCTTGGTATTAGCTGAGTTTTAACCCAATGCCGGGCATTTTACATGTCCTCGTCATTTAAAACCCAGGACTGCCATATAAAGGGATCTTCATCCTTATTTTACAAACAAGGCAAACCAGGTTCGGAGCAGTTGAGACTCTTGCCCAAGTGCCACAGCTAGCTGTATGCCCGTGCCCGCATCCCCAGCACCACTTTGGTCCCTCTCCTGCTGCTGCCCATCCTTAACACGAGGGTTTATTCAGTCTCTCTTCCTGGGCACCTGGGCTTGACCGTAGAGCACCAGCGCCGGCGTGTCTGACCTGGGGGACGCCCCCCACACCTTGAGAGGACTGACGGCCTGGACGGCCTGATTGAGGCTTCTAGTGGGTCCAGTGATAGCCCACTTTGGGCAGTGGTCAAGGCCGGGGGCTGACAGAAGGAACTCGGGAGCTTAGGGGTCTCCAAGAAGGGGCCTTTCGGAACTGCCTCTTCCTCACCACGGGCAGGAAGGTCCTGGGGCCCAGGGGTGGCAACTGCAGGGGCTCGAGGCTGCTGCGGCCCTCCGCGGCCGCCCCCCCCCCGCCCCAGGGGCCTCTCGGGCGCTAACACTAGGAGGCGCTGAGTGCCGCTGCTAGAGCCGGGGAGCCTGGGGGAGGCGGACAGGGCTGCCGCAGAGCGGAGGGAGGCCGGGGCCGCCGGGCGGTGGGAAAACGAAGTTCGGAGCCCGAGCAGCCGGCGGCCCCCGCAGCGCCGTGCCCAGGCGGGCGCTCTGCCCACCCCGACGGGGGCTCCCGGTCCCGCCCCCGCTCCTTAGGGCGGGGCGGGGCCTAGGCTCCGGCTGAGTCTTGGCCTTCCAGAAAGTTCCCTGGGAAGGCCCGAGCTCGGAGGTCACGGGCGGGGGGCACCAGGAGCGAGCAGCTGTGGAGAGGAAGGCGGGCGGTGGGCACTTCCGGGGCCGACGTCCGGGGCCCCATCCCTGCGGCCCGCGCAAGGGGCAGCGAGCAGCCGCCCTTCTCTCCGGGCGGGGACCGGGTCCCGCCGCCTCCCTCCCTTCCGGTCCCCCCCAGCCACCGGCGACGGGGCGGGGGGCGGGGCCGCACCTTGGCCCCACCCCGGCCGCCCCCCTCGGGCCCGGGGCCCCTGTGCTCCCCGCTCGGGCCGCGGGAGGAGGGAAGACGCCGGCCTCTCGGGACCGTCCTCGGGGGCGATGGGGGAGGGGCAGGGAAGACACTTGGGCCTTGCGCGCCAGACCCGGCTTCCCGCCTCGCTCCGTGGGGACCCAGACGGCAAAAAGATGAAGGTCTTATTTTATTTAGTTAAACATTCATTTGTAAGTGAATCTTCCGTGAAGACGTCCTGAGTGTACGTGTGCAGGGGGAGGGAGGCCAGCGAAACGGAGCTCGCTCCCCTCCCCCCAACTCGGCCGGGCCTCCTGGCCTCCCTCCCGCAGCCTCCCAGCCAATCATTTTCCCAGGCCCCAGCCCAAGTCCCAACTTGCCCAAGAGCTGGGCCTCCACCGGGAGAGGCCGCGGTGGGAGAAGAGTCAGGTGACCCAGTGGCTGGGGAGGGCAGAGGCTGACCAGGCAGCCCCGCCCCCGAGTCACGGCCAACCCAGGCCCGGGGGCGTGCACCACTCCTGCACCGGTGTTTGGGCGGGAGGGGAGAAGGCGTCCGTGGGAAGTCGTGGGGAAGGATGGGCTCTTAAATGGCCCCCAAGTAAGGGAGCGGTGCACAGGCAAACACTGAGTGGGGGGGCCGGAGTTAATGCTGTTCTTCTCCTAAACCTAGGAAGGCTCAGGGCACAACAGGACAGGGGGCTCAGAGCCACCTTAATTGGCTGCGGAGAGCCCTCCACTGAGAGTCACCTCTTCTGGGTCCGAAACGTTCGGAAGAGCCACTGGACGATGAAGGGCCACAGGAGGAAGAAGAGCAGCGTGGGGCCGGAGAGCCTGAGGGGCCACGGCCGGGCACTGGGCGGGGTCCTCTGCTGCCAAGAGGGGGGGAGTCAGGGGCCAGCCCAGGCTTCAGCACAGACTGGGCCCTCCTGAGGAAGCTTCTTCCAGAACTAAGAGGGAGCTTCTGTCTCCCTAAGACTGTAAGAAGTGGGGCAAAGAAGGCACTACCCCCACATCTGCACCACTAGAAGGGAAGGGATCCTGATGTCCCCAGTGTGTCCCTGCCAGCTGACCTCAAGTTCCCTCCCATCCTCCCCAGGGCAATCCAGGTGCCAGGGGGGCTGGAGGGGCTGGCTGCCTCGTGGAGACTGGCTTCTAGGGTATCTCTTCTGGCCACACAGCAGTGGTCCTGGTGGTATGGCTTGGGCACCCAATATTATAAAGGATGTGCCACATATTTCAAATGGTACTCAGATTTTAGTTTCTAAATATCATTAGAAACTAAAAGCCAGGACTATATCTTCTAAAAGCCAGGACTCCTTGGAGAAGTGGTTAATTCCAGGTCTGGAGCAGGGAAGGTAGAGGTGAACGTGGGACATCTTGTACCAGAAAGCAAGGAAGCTTTTAAAGATTAATGAGGTCATGTTATAAGAACATAGGACCCAGCTTGAAAGGGTCTCCATTGACCAAAATTGTGACAATGTAAAGCATCACAAAGAATTAATTTCAGTTGATTGAAATACCGAATCTTTAAAATCCATTAGTCCATGATGATACTCAAAGAGAAAGTTGGAAATTTGTCACCATTGAGGTGGCTGTTAAATCAACTCCTTACTTTGGGTAATTAAAGAGAAAGAATTAACCTTTATTCTGCCTTTACATAAGTAAAACCCTAGATGAAACTCTACAGAAAAGTGACACCTAACATATGGTAAAGGAATAATAGAATTTAAAAGTCAGCATTTCTTTTCCAAATAAAGGATTGACCCAGGCAAGGGTTATCCATCAACTATCAAAAATCATGTGGCCAGTGGGGTTAATGGGGAGCTGGACATTGCCTAGCTGCAAAAGGAAAACATGACTTAGCAGTGGTGGGATCAGAATGTCACCCCTTCCTCATCCATGCAAGTATCATTAATAGTGGGACATCCATGTCTGTGTCCCCTGCTGTGAAGAGCATCATATCTGACATAATATGGTCATGTAATGACCAGCCTTAGAGATAATCGGAAAGACCCAAAAA